GGGGAACCCTTGATATATCATTACTGCAGTATTTTCCCAATTAGACAATCATAAGAACATACATACTTAGTTTTGAACCTAAATACAAAAGGCTCTACACAAAGACCAATACACATAGTGCAGACTTCTCGAGTGTTACAATTGTTGCGAATAACTGAAATTGAAGAGCTCATTCCTTTGAAAGATAATGTGAAAGATGCAGGCTTCCAGAAGATTTGTGTTCCCAATAAACAACGAATGTGAACTGTGACATTGCAATATTCATCACAAGTATAGAACCACTCCTTTGGATCTAATATTGTTTCACATATCTCACATCAATGTTGACCACTCGTTGTATCTTTTTCCCCGTAGCAAAGAGTGAGTGCATGCCTATCGTGCTTATAATGTGTCACACTTGGCAAAGTAGCACATTTAAGGCGCAAGAATGACTTGGATTCCACGCATTCTAGGGAATAACGTGAACATTTACTAGACTTGCACCCCAAGCATGTGCCTTGGGTAAGATTGAAGAAGAGATCATGATGTGGATAGCTTCCATGGATAAGAGGGAAGCGCACCTGGTGTCTAATTGGAATTTGCAGTCCTTTTTGCTGCATTTGTACATGAAACCATTACCTATTTGGTCACAACTGCTGCATTTGAACATGCCTTCGATACTAATTGTAAATCTATAATGCCCTCTTATCAACTTCTGCCAATGCTCGCTCTCGAATGGCACAGGAAGAACTGGATGGAGGATGAGGGGGTGTTTGTGTAGTGGATGGTCTTTCTTGCGAGGAAGGGATGCACGTGCTTCGTGGAGAAGGAAATCGCACTTCATACAACTATAAAAACTCTCGGATAGTAATATTGGAGTAGTGCATGCGTGACAAAACCTTTTTTCATCACAATCTTTGTTGTTCTTGTGGAGTCTTAGATAATGTTCATCATGACTGAAAATGTTGTATGGTCTCGTCATCAATCCTCACGAATGGCTCGAGGTCTTCCTCGGGTTCTTCGGGCACTCCTTCAAGATCTATTTCGTACCACACTCTTCCTTCTACTGCACAGAGGGAATGGACAGCATAGTGGCATCCCTTGTTGCAAGAGAATTGCCCGTATGTGACATCGACGACACGGCGACAGACTCCGCAAAGGTAATCACCCGGAGAAAGAGAGGAAGAGAGCGATAGACGGTGTGGGTGACGAGTGATCTTGATGACATGAGGTAAGTAGATACATGTTTTGTGGACGATGTAGTTACAAGGGAGACAAGCGTAGACAAGATCATGGGTGTTTTCAAGAGATAAACCACAAGCACCACATGGAGAATTGGTTCTCCGAGGAAAAAGGGTTAGGGCATGGTCATGGCTCCTTTGGTTTGAGATGGTGAGAGGTGGTGGGTTTCTAGTACATGTGAGGTTTAAGCTGAAGTTGCAGATAGAACAATGATAGTACGCTTCTTGGAGACGTCTCTGACAACATTTGCATCTTACATCGGATGTAGAGACATCATCGGATGCATCAGGTTCTTCTGTATCAGAATCATAGGGTTCTTTTTTCCATGAAGTGGGGAGGTGCTTCAAATCAGAGTAAGTAGAACCTGGAGAGAAGATGAGCTTGAGAGGGTGTTGAGAGTGAAAAGGATGTCTGATTTCCGGTGGATACAAGTGGCACACCTCGTGGAAACACAACATGCAAGTAACACAATAGTAATAGCTTGCAAAAAAAATCCAACCATTTGGATCCACATGTGAAGCAAGTGGAGAACCCCTTCTCCTTCTTCTCTAGGGTGTGAGGCTTAGTTAAATCCGAGAGACGACATCTTGGTTTGAAAAGACAATCCTTATGAATATCGTAATCGCAGATGTTACAATGGAGATGATTCCCAGTGCCACCACCATATCCTTTGTCGTGTTTGCATATCAAGCAAGGGTATTTTGGACTCGTAAAAGGTTGTATTGAAAGGAAGTGGTTCGCCTGACTTGGATCCGACTCACGACACATGAGTCTAGCACGAGAACTAAACTTCTCCCATGTGTCTTCTTCTTCCA